CTTTAATAGACGCTGCGGCAGCTGCGCAGCTGCGAGGAGTGGTCAATTTTGAGGTGCGAATGCGATTGCGAATTATGTTTGCACTATTACCAGACGCGTCGAGGTGAGATTTACGAGGAAATTGTCTGCAATTAAAACAGATGGATGCGATGATATATTTATACTTAGAGAATATAAAAGCTTCAAAAGCGATCTTACATCAATTTCCATTACAGAATAAGTCTGTATTAAATTTACCTAGATTCTATATTTATATATATATGTTGGACTCTATAATATTATTACGTTTATATATATCTTATCTGGGACACACGATATCTATTTTTTTCCCTCCAAAGTTTTGCTGCATAAACCCCCTTACTTCGATATTTAAGGCCCGAGAGGAAAGCTGAAAACGTTCGGTGTCTAAATTTACATCGCTCTCCTCGCCCTTCTCGCCCTTCTCGTTTCGCTTCGATACAATCGAGATACCGGCCTCGGCTGGCCGGGTCATCTATTTCCTCCCTCGGCTCCTCCGGCGACGTCGGCCAAAGACGACGTCAGAGAATCCTCTCGCCCTCGGTCGCGCCGGCCAGATATTCACCCCTCTCGTGCCGTGCCGTCTTCTCTCTCTCTCATTTTTACGCCGTCCATTGTAAATGCCGCGATCGAATTTACATACGCCGTATTATAATAGCGCGGCGCGCCGGTGGGGACCCCGCAAAAATTTTCCGCGAGCGGGCGTTAACGAGTAGGGACGATCGCGCTAAAAGAAGGAGTGAATACGAAATTAATAGTATTCCGCGCGAAGTGCAAAGAGCCTGCAACTCCATGCATTTATACGCGCTCGCTTGGAAAGATCCTGTTCGCCTTCTTTACACATTATCGTGTTTTCGAACCTTCTCCCGATGTTCCTCCTTTTTTTAACCCCCCCTTCCCCCACCTCTTCCAAGCATGCCTTCGCATGCTCCGTCACGCGATTACTCCCGGAGAAATGCGTGGAAACAATAACTCTCATAACGTAGAGGACTCTGGTGTATTTATGGAATTAAATTTTAATAGAAAACTCGCGCGCGTGGTTCGGGAAGCACGTGTTTATTCATCGTCAGTTAAGGGATGGAAATTACGATGCGGAGAAGATCGAGATATTAATAGAAATTGCAGACGTGCTTCACGCAAGCACGTTACGCGGTCCACGAATAATATTAAAGTAATAACGCTTGATCGCCTTTGCATTTTCAGATCATTGTATTTGGGAAACTCTTTGCGCATGTAGGTCGTATCGATACGATCGATCCGCGGAATGTAGTTAGAAATATCTCGAGAGATTGAGAATATGTCGCGTTTTCCCGCATTAGCTCGATACTCGAAATCATTTCTGACACAGAGCAGTTAAATAACGGCGAGTCGCTTAAATGTCACATTATTGACTGATACTTTCAGGCCATCTGTTTTAAGTCGGATACGAATCGAAAAGACTTGAAGCATTCTTTAAAGTAGGTTGCAGCGATCCTAATCCCAACTTGACACGAAAAAAGGTGTTGCACAAGTGCTATATTTTCAAAAAGTCGCCTTTATATGTGCTATTCATCACGAGAACACTTCTTTTCAAACAAATAAAATGCGACGCTTTTATTTAAATAGCTCATTTTAAAAAATATTGCGATATATTATATTTTATATTTAAGAGATTATTTCTTTCTTTTTTAAACTTTTTTTTTATGGGGAGATGTTTCATATAATGCTCTTTTTAAGAAAGATGTAGATCTTTAATCATTAAAAGCAACTCGAGATCATTGCAGAATACATATCATCGATTTAATACACAATCGAATACATCTTGTAGATGATAGTTAAATCTGAGAAAAAAACGATGCAGCGCAAGAGAGACAGGGTTAATAAATAGAGTCGTACGGTTTGATGGCGTATTTCACGTATTTTCATCGCCAGCGGTCCCTTAGGTCGCCGTAATATAGAAACGAAAGGGATGAGAGGAAAAGTAGGGAGGACCCGAGAGATATAGCCAGAAAGCCGAGTCGAGTCTCGGAGGCTCGTAAGTAGTTTTATTAAGGGGTTCCTTTCGGAAAATCGTGGAGGACGGTTGAATATACATCGGTGAAGATATATGCGATATCGATTACCGTTTCGGCTCCCGATATTACGTCGTCGGTCCATCCGTGTACTTTCTTTCGCATACAACTATCGCCGGCAACTGTACCTCTCTCTATCCTTTTCAGCCCGCGTACAGGATGTCCGCAAAATAACTTTCGCGTAATCTCAGAATAAAATATAAAAATATAATTATATATTAAAATTAGAATCACTCTTTTGTATTTATATAATACAAAACCTAATATATGTGACAATACAATCGTTATAATACTGAATATCTGAGAAAAAATTTGAAAGTCTAAAAAGACAGACTAAAATATATTTATATGAGGTTTATCTTTTTTACGTAAAATGTAACTTTATTGAAATTTGTAATGATATAAGTTTATGTGTGATTAATATACGCATTATCACAATAATTTACATACAAGAAATAATTAATACAGAAAGTGACTTTAATAACAATAACGCAGTAGATACCGATAGACAGACAAATAAATAAGAATGAAGGAAATAAACCGTAGTGATTCGAGAATTCGATTAAGCCGAACAGCAGTAGAGCATGTGACGGTTGACATTTGGTAAGAATAATTCGAGGATATAATGCGATTACAAATAATGTGAGCACCTACGAGTTACGAGCGTAAAATAATTTCCGAGGAGAATGTGACGTATGCATAGTGAGCGCGGAAGGGCCGCGGTGAGAAATGTACTCTGACCCCTTAAATAATCAAAGAATGCGCGGATGTGTCGTTTCGGAGCTACGTATCACGTGTAACGTAGAATTAAACGGGAGCCCTTGGCGCTCTCGTTGAAAGCCCATGTTACCTCAACTGTGCAATTCAATTGTAAAATTTGAATAGTCGATATGAAGAACGCCGCACGCGCCGAAAGTACAAATCTCGTAAAACGAAGTCTACGCTTTTGTAAAATAATATTTATTTATTCAGGGAAAAAAAAAACAGAAAAGAGGGAATTCTCTTTTCGCGCATCCATCAAAATTCTAGAAAATTCTAGAAAAATATATTTTCAAGTTTTTGCAAACTTTTTACATAACTGTGTAAGGTTTTATTAGTTTTTCGTCGATTGACTCGCGAATAATTGACAGCGCACCGTCCGTCGTTGTTGCTCAAATTTGCGAAAAGGTTTCGCAAAATTTTAAATTCCTCTACGTTATAAATGTTGCACGCGCAAATATCCGTAACGGGCAGCGTAACCCACGGGAAAGTAGCCTATGAACGTAGTAACGTGCGGCGTATTTTTTTTTGACCCTTTAAATTGCCAGGAAGGTACGGACGGTCGTTTGTTAGCCACCACGTGTTATCGCCGTCTTGAATAATACAGTTGGTGTGTTTTACGAAAGTTATGCGCTTACACCCTTTAACTAAATTACGCTTCGCGGGAGTTTGAACGTTTACCCGATAGATACGCCACGAGATAAACCGACAGAGTATGTATACGCGTCCATTCTCTCTTTTTTTTTTTTTTTCTCCGCTAATAAATATTTCACGCGTTGCTCTCTTGCACGAGGTTTTAATTTTGATCGCGCGATACGATGATAGTAAATTATTATACAAACGAATATTTTTGCTGGAAAGATTATTCGCGGAGAGGGAGGGAGAGAGAAAGTCAAAAGAGAGTATAATAGAAAAAAAGCACTATTTTAATTTTTGTACGATTTTGTTACAAAGAGATGCCAAAATTGCATCGAAAAAAAATTACTTCGCAATACATTTAACGTAACACGCTGCAACGAGCTGACGCATGCCTTCGTGGTATCGTTGACGTTAAAGAATCACTTGGCCGGCGAAAGAGATAAAAAGTATATAGTCCACTACGGTGCTCGTGTAAAACGGGACACGTGCGAAATGGGCTAGAAAGAAAAATACGGGGAAAGCCGTGCTACGCCAATGTCCGCGTCGTGGAGCCGCCGCTCCATCGGTCGGTCCATCGAGTCTCGATAGTCGTGAAATCTTTCCCACATCCGTCTTCCGGTCTGTGTGCCCGCCGCTCCGCCTTCCCTCCCCTCGCCTACGATTTTTTTTTTCCATTAAAAGTAAGATGGCGCGGCAAATCCCCCGCGTTTTTACACCGCCGTGCTCTCTCGCCCTGGTTTAAAATCAATGTTCAATGCTCATACGGCTTCCTACGTCTCGCACGAGCGGCGGGAATGTATGCACTTTACGAGGGGATCCCCCATACGCGTATGTGTACGTGTGTCGAGAGATTTCGAGTGCGAATATACGGGGTGTACCGAGAAGAAGTGAACGGGGGAAAGTACAGGATTAAATATTCAAAAGATTGCGCATAAATCTAAATATTTAAATATTGCCGAATTCATCAGATATTTGATATGCCTATATTTGAGTAGCGTGAAAATATTTTTCTCTTGTGAAGGGATGATTCAGCATCCGTTAACTTGGATTGCGATTCTAGCATTAAATATTGTATTAACGAGATATTCAGTTTTTACGTTTGTCATCACTCTCCTCTCCCTAGTTGAGCGCCGAACTTTTAATAGACGTGTTAGTAATACAAGTTACGCCACGGACACGGTGGCACGAAGTTTAACGGCATAGTTACACGTGATGCATGAGCATGGTAGTTTTGACAACAACCGAGATCGATAGATATTAGATACAAATTTCTCATCCAAGAAAAATATATATTTATAAATTTATATTTTAATATATAAAATGCGTTACACACACCGATATTGCCGATATAAAAAAAAATATTATTTCTTACAAAGATAAGGATCTAAACCTGTCTTGACAAAAAATATTTGATTATGTACCAAACCTTACGTATGCAAAATTATTAATTAAAATTAAATATTCTAGTTTTTATTCACAAGTTATATTTATGTATTTTTAAACTTAATTTATTTTTATTTATGTTTTTTTCAGAACCGATGTTGCTGCTACGAAACGGAAGACTGCTTCGCTCTTTTATCAACCAGTATAATCGAGGTCGTAATTAACACTTTGGCGGCTTCGAGCGTCCATCGTCGTTACGTAAGACTCATTTAATTCATTCGATTTTAAATGCATGTCATATCCGTTCCTATAAATATACATAGTCACAGACAAATATTGTGCATTTATGCGTGCAAGGTGACAAGCATGTTTTTTTTTAGAATATATCCCTATCTGTTTTCTCAAAAAATGTATTTGTCAACGAACGGTTTTGTCAAGCAATAACGTGCACTTTTACTATGGAAAAAGACACGGTCACCCTATATACGCGCTTGCATACATATGCGGGGCTATTGTTCCGTCGCAGGCTTCAAGTTCGCGGCCTCTCGAGACGTTTCGTCATTCTTGCGGAGTTCCCTTTGTCACCCGTGCTCTTAAAAGACATTCCGCGAAACGCCGGAATGAAAAGAGATAACTAGCGGCGATCGTATAGAAGAATTTTGCTCTAACGAGCGGCGAGACTTTTGTGTATCTTTCACGGAAAGATTCGATTGAATCGGGGCGCCAAGTCCGTCGTTTAACGGACTATAAATGACGAAGATACGCCACCATTATATTTTTATCCGTCGATATATGACTTCGCCGCCGAACGCGTCGCATATCAATCACAATAGAAGCGTCCCGCCTCTCTCCTCTATTTTATGCAATTCCCGAGGCGTCGCGACGACCTAAAGAGACTCCCGGTGAGGGTGCATTTCCGTTAAACTTCCCGATCGCCGCAGGGTGCGAAAACCTCCTACCCTCTCGCTCTCTCACTCTGTCGAAAGGGGGAGATTTCGGTCCCTTCTACTTCTCTCCCATTTCTTTTTTCGGCGCAGTTTGGCCCTTCAAACCTATCGCGTTTCGTTCCTCGACGTCTTTACCCGGCCACGCCGGGTTCCATCAACGCCTGTCGTTTAGCCCGCGGCGGCGCGTTGACGAAAGCAAAAGTGATTAGATGAAGATAGAGTGGAGAACGAGAGGGCAGGGCCCGCGAGAGGAAATTGCCGGGATGCCGAGGCATTTTCGTGAGACCTTTTTCTCGAGCGGGCAGACGCGCAATTATTCAGCGAGATCTTCTTTTTAATCTTTTCGTAATTTAGATTTAAGAATTTTTTTCTAAGTTTTTTTTTGTGTTTTAAAAATCCATTAAATATGCTGGAGCAATTATCTTTGTCATTAATCGTTATGTTTCAGTCTTGCGTTTTTTTTTTATATGCTTAAATTTATACTAATCGTTTAATTGCTTTTTCTTTCGATCCTGTAGTATTGATATAAAATCAATTTTTTTTCTTAAAAAAAAAACTATTTCTTTTTCCAAATCTTCTTAAGGGAAAATGTTCTTTAAAATATTATTAAATTTGTTGAAAAAATTCGGACAGTAGTTCTCGTACATTTCATATCGTATCTGTCGCCGTCACGCGGCGCGATATTATGTATTCCTAGCTGTCGCTCGCGATTTTCCGATTTTCGTAAAGTGTCAGACGGTGTTTGGCCGTCTCTACGTTGTATTATCACGGAGACGCGAGAGAGCGCGCGACGTTAACTACGCATATAAGTAATTAAATACGACGAAGCGCGACGCTAAGATTTTTCCCCGCTTCCCGCACGATTCATTATCATCACTGTCGTCGTCAGTACGTATAGTTAATGAAAGAAAATGCAGGAGAATCCGAGATATACTCACGCCGTGTGATACCTATAAAATTTAGATATTTAATTTCATCCACATTACGACTTTCTCGAATTTATTCCGGGAACTTTGACTCCCTAAAGTATCATTGGCGAATTTCGAAACAACGCTGTATGAAATGTTCCCGGCATCCCGCGCTTTCTCTCAATCGCTAAGGGCCAAAACGCAAATTGGCGAACTTTCAGATCTGCGTACAATAGATACGAAGTCGCGCGGCAACAATGAGTCTCGTATCGAGGTGAATCTCCTTGGAATAATTCACGGCATTTCTCGGGAAAAACGGAAGCCGCGAAGAAAGTTGCGTCCGTCTCGGTTGTTAAAGATCGCCGCGGGGCTGGTGGATTTCTTCGGTCTTCGTCTTGGACCCGGTGGTTATCGTCTGGGACTAATGAGAGGAAGCTCGCGTCGAAAGAACGTATCGCGCTGTCCATATATTCAGTCCATACCTTTATCTTTTCAAGACGACTCACTGCTTTCTTATCGTCAGTCCGGAGAAAAGTTCCGTGGTCACGGGCATCCGGTTTTCATTTTGTTCACTTTGTACAATACAAATCTATACCGTCTCAAGGTTTAGTTTGTCCCTTATAAAAAGAGTATAATACTGTACATTCTTCCTGAATTTACTAGAAATTTAAAAACTAAAAAGTATATACCTATATATAAGTATATATAACAGCAAATTTTTTTATGATTAAACTGTTTGAAGAAGCGATGTGAAAGAAATTTCTGATATTCATTTATGTAAAAAAAAAAAAAAAAAAAAAACATTTGCATAAGATATACAATGTCCCGGATGCCATATATATACGAGTATAAATAAAATTGAAAATATGATTTTTTGCGAGTGTTCACACAAATTAATAGGCATACTGCAGGTGATCGTATAACCCAGGACTTTTTTCTTTTTTTTTAGCGTTTAGCTTGCAACGGAAACGCGTCTATCCGACCTCTCGAGCGTCGACAATATTCATGGTAATCCAATTCAAATTAATTCTTGGTAGTGGGGAGTCGCTCTTCGTTCGCGCGCGCATCTCCCTTCTACTAAATGGCGTCTCATAACCCGCTCGGAGGAGGTTTGTAACCGGAAGTGACGTGAAATATCGCGCTGCGACGTAATCGGTCTCCCTCTCTGTCTCTCTTGCTTTCCCGGTGCTCTATCTATTGCCGCAGACCGGCGGATCTCTTCGAGGTTTCTCTAATTGTTACCACGGGCCTCCGCGATGTTAATCACGTGGCCGGGCTGAGACAGTAATTCAGCATTACGGTGAGGCATAACTCCTATTCACATCCGCGGGCAATACCGGTTACCTATCTGTCGGCTTATTGACTAGCGTTTATTAGGTCCGCGCAAGTAATCGCGATGTAATTGGAAGAGTAATTTGATGTTGGGAATTTGGGACGATGGCGTCTTCCAGCATGGGCGAAGGATATTGCGTATTCTAAAAATCCTATCGTGAACAATATACATATAATTTCTATAGAGAGTGAATGCACTTAATTAAAATATCAAATTTTTTAAATTTTTTTAAGAAAAAAGAATTTTCTAAACATTTAGAATTATATAAAATAATTTTTGGGTATATTTAATAATAAGTACAATAAAAGAATGTTGAACATACAAGACTCTTAAAATCTTTTAAATGTTTTTTTATTAATCTATTCTACTATTATACTATTCAGAAATAAATAATCTATGATTTAATCGTTCACAATGTTTAAAGAAAATTTGTAGTTTTATCATAAGTTACGAACAATTAAAGGCGCCAAAAAGTTTATTCTATTTATAATTAAATATATAATTAAAATCTCGAAAGAATTTACTCAATATCTATCAAAATGTAACCAAATAAATGAGAAAGAAAATGAAAAAAATTATTTGGATATGTTAATCCAGTGTTGAAAAAAAAAGAACATAGAGATAGATAGTTCCGTTATAGGATTTTGCAATTACGCCTTCCTATTTCTTACTATTTTTACATGATTGATCAATGAAAATAAAATAAAATAAAATAAAAACAATTGCTCAAATATAATTATTTTTCACAAATTTTTTTATCGGAATTTTATCGGATTTTCTCTACGGAATCTGTTGTCGATCATGTATTTAATGCATCTCATTGCGAGTGCGGTATTTGATTTAGAGCAATTTGATTAACAGTTTGCTTACTCCTTTGAGCTCAAAGGGGCGGGGAAGGCACGCGACTTATCGCCCACGCGCGGCAACAATCAACGCAATGAACGAAATATGTATAAGTCAGCGCCGATGAACGCGCACCGCTTTCCTCATTAGAATGCCGAACATTTCGACGAGCGCGAGGCTACATCCGCGAGGCATTTTCCTAACTCGGCGCTTCCGCACGCGTTCCGTTGCAAACGAACGGACGAAGCGTGCGAGCGCGCTTACGCGATCGAAATTCCGCGCGCGTCTCCGTTTGTAGCCGCGGCCGGGGCGGTTAACCGAATGGGTGATTAGCAGCGTGGCGGTTAAATCGCTAACCGGAATAGTTAAACGGCCGAATCGGTTAGCCGAGTAGTTAGCCAGTCGCATCGGAGCGGTCCATCGGCTCTCTGCATTTGTGGAGAGAGCTCGCGTATATATTTAGTGTTTATTTTCCGAAAAAAACACGGAAAATTTGGGATTCTCAGGGATTTCTTTCGTATCTGAAAAAATCAGAGAGTTCTCATGGAATTTTATTAGGATTCAGAAAATTTTTAAAAAGATCTCCCTTTGATTATTTTGCTCTCATATTGTAAAGAGCAAGCCAAGTGAATTATTAAATATATGTTTAAAACATATTATAAATATATATCTATCTTTGTTTATACATATTCAGTGTTTTAATAAAATATTGAATATGCAGTACATATTTTTTATTGTAAGTTTAGTGAAAAAAAATTGAATTTTTTTACAAATGAAAGATGCTTATTTTACGATATTTTTTCAGTTTTTTTTTTCAGTACATTTTTATACAAATCTAACACTTGTAACTTAAAAAGTTCTGTGTTTTTCCTTCGTATGAGTGAAGAATATGACAAAACGCATACAATGAAAAAAAATTTATTTTAGAAAACTGCACTAAAAAATATTCTCTTTATTTGAAATTTTGAACAAAAATACATAAGAAGATTAGGGAATTTTCAAGAAATTTTTTTATAAGATTTAAGTACAGAGACACACTGATTATATTATACCAGCATTATATGTCGGAAATAACAGAGATAGCAGGAATTATATATGGAATATAGAATATATGTGTTTTCCAGTCTTTTGCATTAAATTGAAAAATAAAGCCCAAATTCTAGTAGAATCGCTTGTTACAGATAGATTAAAGTATTTTCGCGAAAGAGAAGAGAGACGCGATTAAATGACGATGTTAGCTAGATGAGAGAAAGATTTATGTAGCATCGCGACGTTGTTAGACAACGATGACACAAAGTGACGAACGATGTCTCTTACTACGTAAACAAATTCCGTTGGATAACCGCTGAGCCGCGTCTTATTCAGAACGATGATTGAGAACCGTAAGCGCGTTGTTGGCCGCGTACAAAGGCGCCGTGTGTTTGTAGAATAGGATCTCGCGCTAATAGACGTTTTCTATGAGATCGAAATGACAGGGGAAGAGGGGAGGGGGAGGGGGTACACAAGAATGCCGCTGGTGAGCGTGAAGGTGATGTGCGAGTAGAATGCGAGCGTAACGCGCTAATAGCACTACAAAAGGTGATCTTTATGAGTAAGGAAGACGCTCGCTGTGTGCATTGATCGTGGGAGGAGATGCGCTGTAGTAATTTTAAGTAGGGGAATTTCGGCGAGATTAAGCATTTCAAGTGGGAAAGGAAATTACGTCATTTCTCCGTTCATCGAAACAGCTTCCTGTCACTGTTTATTCTAAGCAATTTCGTTTTTGCCGAAAGATAAAAAGAAATGGGCGTTGTCTAGATTTATGGATTATAATATTATGTGTGAAATGTGCGCGTTAGTCGCACAAATGTATGTCTGAATAAATGATGTTTGCAAACATCAAGGTGGAACGGAAAAGGACAGAGATATAACGCAATCGGTTAATTTGTCATTTCCTTGCTCATCTGGATTGTTTCACACACGGTCTCCAAACTAGCTATTATCTTACAACGTGAGATAATACGCATTCTTTCCAACTTACGAAACACAGTTACTTTATCTGTACAAAATAGAGGAATACAATCGTTATGTGTCTTTAATCGTTAAATTACACGTTTAATTTTATAGACTGTATTGTTCAATGATGTAAATGTAAATGATTCTTTTTTAGAGGTGGAAAAAATATGAATGTAACCAAAGATCAAAAATGACACGCAAATATATCGGCACCATTAGACACACTTTCTATATCTAAATTCTAAGTCCATCTGAGCCGGTCAATTAATTGTACGGTCACGTACTTGGTTAGCACGACAGTTAGACGAGCGTATACGACTTTGTATATATATTAGTATGATACATCTGCAGGGCTGATTGAAAATTTAGTAAAATAATTTACTATCTAGACTTTGAAAATAAATGTAATAGACATTTACTTCTATTACCAAATACACACAGACATCGATGATATAGCAAACGAGTTTGAATTTTAAATGAAAAATTAAATATCATTCAGTTTGCAATTAAAATTAATATGTGTTATACTAATTTTTATGGTATTATATACAGAGTGTTTCTAATTTAATTAAATGCCATTTTCTTAACAAATTATTGAAGGTATCGAATATATTGGGTTGAACGGAAAGTTTGTTCCGTTTTTTACTAAGAGATGAAGACCGAAAAAATGGCACAAACTTTCCGTTCAACCCAATACAATAACTTTGCTCTCATTTGAAAGATAATTTAATTCTCTACAACTTTTGTTTCGGTACTTTCTGTTAAAAGACGATATACCGAAAAGTGTTTTTTCGGCTATTGACGGTTATTCGAAAACCTATGGAACGAACTATTGAGTTGAACGGAAAGTTTGTTCCGTTTTTACTAAAAGATGAAGATCGAAAAAACGACACGAACTTTCCGTTCAACCTAATATATAAATGCATGGTATTCATTTTGTTATCGCATCAATAAATGTTTAGAAATTAATGGAAATTATTTTGAATATTTACTGAAATATATAAATTAATTAATTGCGTTTAGAACACGATAATCTTTGGATTGAAACAAAATTATTGCGAGTGATACTTCAAATCTTTGTAACTGTGTCGATGTATATATATGCATTATTATTATTAAAAATACTTCCAATAAAAGATATTTGAAATAATAAGATCATAAAGAATTTCTAAAACTTTATTATTGTTCTATTTAAAATTTTATAATTACATTTTATTGCCTCTTTTTTAATGGATTTAAAATTTTATTTATACAGTTTATATAATATGAAAGACTTTTTATTCGATAAAGTTTTAAAAAAAGTTTTATATCTCGATATTTTTAAGTTTCTTAGAAAATGATTTTAAAGAAGTTAGATAGGGATAGAGATTAAAATAATGTGTATATTGGTTTTTCTTTTATATTTAAAAAAATTTCTATTTTTTATTACTCGCTATTAAAATTATTTTTTTTATTTCAAAATAATTTGTGCAAAAAGTTATAAGATTACGCTCTCTGATAAGGGGTCCGCTCTCTGATCCGGCCGGCCCTGGACCGGAAGCGAGCCGACAATGAGTATAGTCTACATTAGGTATGGGGACTACTACTATCGGCCAGCTAGCGGGGGGCTAATCCGATGGAGAGGCATTTTCATCTCGAGGGTTTCGGAACTTGCCGGTGGATTCCGACGCCGCCCATACTCCGCGAAGAGGAAAAGAGAGAGAGAGAGAGAGAGAGTGTGTGCGCGAGAGAGCAAGCCTTTCCTTTGGCCGGGAACTTTGTTGCGAACTGGAACCGCGCTCTGTACCAGCCGCCGAAAACGGGGGAATTAATCGCTATTTCAACGATGCACCGGCCGCTGCATCGCGGCATTGCTCGAATGCTCTTATTTCCGCGCGTTGGTAGCTCGTACTTCGCGAGAGAGCACGCCGTTGTTCGCGCCGCGAGTGCTCGCAATCCTAGAATCGCTCTAATAATTTCAGACATGAATCAGTATATATATATGTATATATTAGGAATATTGAAAGTAAATTTTGATCCGTGATAAATCCGCATTAATTATAGCCGCGGCTAACGATCTTTGGGAGATCTGGCGGAAGGAGATGTTATTTGAAATCTCGAAAAATATATTATTATATATATGTACCAATTATTAATATATTATATAATTGATACATATATATACATATATATATATATATATAAAGTTACTAAAAAAAACGAGTTTACAAGCAGTTTTGGACTTGGATTCATACGTGAATAAAATAGGATTTGCCAAATCTCTTTCCTCAACTTTGTTTCGAACTAAAGCAAAGCCGGGTCCGAAATCGCGCCACTAAATGCTATCTCAACAACGTCGCTGTTCAGCTGCGGCGCATTATCCGAGTGCTGTTATTTTACGGTACAATAATTTTCACCGATCGCGTCAATAGTATGTGATCAGTTTGCTCGCATATCACGTTCACACATTAGTCTTCAATTCAATTCACACATGTTAAAGCGATGTGGCCATTATTACAAAATTTTGGACAGAGAAAAAAATAAGTGTATCTTTAATAACAAATAGCAATTAAAAATCGATCTCACACACACACACACACACACACATCAAAGAAGAGAAATCACACGTACAGTATTGTGACGTATAGATTTTAAATTGGAAATATGTATTGTTTCCGTATATATCGATCGCATCATAAATATGGGCTGTGATATCTGTCTTTTCCCCTTCCCCCTCTTTCCATGTCCCAATAAATGA